CAGCAGCAAACCCAATAGTTCTACAACACTCAAACCTCAGGAACACCCTCAACTCCCCCAGCACAGCAGAGAACGCCCAAGAGAGGGACTTCCGTCCCGGAGTCGGGGGACAGCCACTGTGCCCACCTGTGCAGCCCAGTCCTCTTGAGAACCCATGAATAAGCAGCTGAGAGAGTGAACCTCATGCAGGCCCGTGAGCTCGGGGAGTGCTCTCAGCGACGAAGCACACTCACACACCCATCCAACTGCCCCTCGCACATGCATGTGCTTAATTCTGCCACCAGACCAAGTCTGACACAGTGGGCTGGAAAGCAGTGTCGCTGGCTGCCGTGCTCACGGCAGGAAGAGTGCGGATGGCTGTTCATCTCCTGTCGCCTGTCTACCTCCCACCTCCCCTGCCATGTGGGAGGGTCAGAAGCACCATCTGATGGGCCCTTCCTGCAATTCTCATGCCCCCCTCACCAACAGCATCATCATCACAGAAAGGATTTAGACCCAGGCTGCTCTGGTATGCCGGTGGACGCTGGTGAGGAGGAGGAGGGGAGCTGGCTGTTCCAGGGGAGCAGCGTGTTCTTTCCCTCACAGAGGGCTAGGCTAGTACTGACCTGGAGGAGGGAAGGCAGACGTCTGCTCAGGACAAAGGTAGCCTTCTTACTCTAACAGAGTAGTGAGGCCGCCATCAAGGGAGGCAATCAAGAAGAGGCTGTCAACATCAAGATACAATAGAGGGCTTCCTGCCTTCAGAGGAGAGCTGGACAAAAGGCCATGAAGATTCCCCAGCTATCAGAGCCCCCCATTCTCCCTTCCCAGCACATTCCTCCCTGGGGTGGTGTCACCATGGTGTAGCCTTGAGATGTAGGCTTTGTGCTGCCCTTCTTCCCCACTGAGGACACTAACTGCTGGGCAGATCCCCTGACTTCTCCCTCCTTGTTCCCCTGCTGACCACAGGACAGGGCTCTCCACCAACCTCGTGCCCACAGGCCATCAGACACAACTCAGACAGGACTCTGTGGATGTCTTCCAGCCTTTGAAGCTCCCACCAGCCCCCCAGTGTCCCCTGAGGGCAGCTTTCCCCAGGTCTCCAACCTTATTCATCAGAATTGCTCCAGTCCATCACTGGGCTCACTTCCTGCCCCAGGCCCTGATTCCTGCTCATTCCCCACCCCCCAACCCCAACCCCAACCCCATGTGCCTTCTCCCTGTCCCCCAACCTGTTCCAATCCTACCTGGCCTCCCAGGCTTGGCTCCAGCCTACCACCAACCAGGCACTCCCCTGACCTCTTCCTTCCTTGTCTCTTTCTTTTCCTTTATTGATTGCTCTGGGAAACTTGTCCCTCCAGGCAAGCAGGGTGCTCCCAACACGGGGCCTCCTCCTCTGAGCCCCGCAGCAGCTGGGCTGGGATCCTAGAGGGGTGGCTGGTTGTGTGGTCTCGGCAGCTGGCCTTGAGCAGGGTCCCCAGCACCTGCTTTAAAAGGTGTTTGATCTGCTTCTCCCGGAAGGCAGGCAGCTCGCTCCTTCCCCAGTCTGGCTCTGCCCCTCCTCCTGCCCTCACAGGCCTCCTGCCTGTGATTCCAGGATCAGAGGAGCCCACCCCCACCCCCATCTCCAGCTCAGGCCCAGAGCAGGGGTTGGGGCCCCACACAACACACAGGGCAGCTTGTCTCCAACGCTAGAGCCTGTCCACACCCCCAAACCATTTGCCCGAAACTTGATCTCCTTGGCCCTCAGAGTCACCTCAGTGGAGAAGCCTGCACAGGGCTTTGATGGCTGAGTTTCCCCAGATGTGGCCTTAGAGAAGCTCAGGAACCCCCGACTTACCCCCATTTGTCACCATCCGTCACTCCCAGGGGGCCACTGGAACCACCAGCTCGGCTTTTAATAACCGAGTCCACATCCTGCTGCTGCCCAGCCGGGCTGAGGGCCCTGACCGCAGCTAAGGGGAGTCATCATGGGGCTTTGGGGCTGGAATTCCAGGTATGATGTATTCTGGGGTGGGGGGAGTAAAAAAGGTCCCCTCGGAGCTTTCTCTTCTACTTCTGATGGGGTTCTGGGGTCCTGCTCTTTGCCCCAAGGCTGCAGGACTATCCGCTGCATCCCCCTTCACCTGAGCACAGACTCACCCTGCTCCTTCCTCCCCTGCCTAGACGGGGTGTCCTGCCGGTTGCAGACAAGATTGGGGAAGGAAACGGATGGCACTCAGAGAAGGCTCCAGCTAGGTGCTGTGGCAAGCTGGGCAGGGAGGGAGTAGATAAAGTCGGGGGCAAGAAGCCGGACCCTAAATTCTCAGAAGAAGGGCCCTGGAGAGGCAATCTCTTCTTCCTTGAAGGAGAAAGGGAGTGCCATCTATAAAATGGTGGAGTCACATAGAGACCGCAGGCTTTTGTTTGTGAAATTGTCTTCCACTGACAGGGAAAGACCCCGGAAGAGAGGAATAATGAGGGGGACGATGCCAGAGCAAGGCCTGCCCAGGGGAAGACAGGGAGAGACAGAGCAGCTCAAGCCGAGACGGAAGCAGCCCGCCAGCTTGGATCTGACCGCCACGTTGCCCGTGGAGAAAAGGATTTTTAGTTGGAAAGGGTTAAACCCACATAAAGAGAAAATTAACTTTTGGCACGCTCTTAGGAATCCATTCCCAAGGAATGCCTGCGTGTGTACATATACAGAGACAAAATTCCCACGGCCATTTGCAATGGCAAAAATAATTGGCAACAAGCCCAGTATCCAGCCATAAATGCTGATAAGTCGGCACGCTGAAGTACCATTTTGCTGATAAAAAGGATGAGGTAATCCCCTGTGGACTGACGCGACAGAACCTCCAAGACATATTGCCAAGTAGCGGTAACCAAGAAAGTAAGTTGCTGAACAATACATAAATCGTGATCTCATTTTATGCTTCTTGAACTAGGTAGACATATGTGTATGTATGTGTGTATACATAAAAAGTGAATCTGGCAGACGCACAGCAAACTGTTCACAGTGGTTACACTTGGGGGAGGGATGGATTTTGGAGAATGAAGGAGGATTTTTCACTTGTTTGAAATGGATATTTTAAAACTCATATTGCATGTGTAATTCTTTTTAAATAAGGTGCTGTGAGTAAGGAGCTGTGAAGGCATCACTGAGCTGTGTGAAATTGCTTCCGGCCCCAGCCCAGTATTGCACATTTCCCAGTCTCCCCGGAAGCTAGATGCAGCCTTTAGACTAAGTATTGGCCAGTGACTTGGAAAAAGAGTGCTGAGCATGACTCCCAGGATGTGCTCTTAAAAAGAGAGGTGTTTTCTTTACCACTTCCTCCTTCTAGCTGGCTGAAAAGCAGCTGTGATAGCTGGATCTCAGGCAGCCATCTTAGACTATGAGGTAGAAGTCGTGAGTTAAGTAGAACAGAGCAGTAAGTTAGTGGCAAAGACAGAGCCTTAGCTAAGGCCAGAGTATAAGGCTGAAGGAGATTTCTGCTGTACCCAAGACTCCATCATATCCACAGGAAACTTAACCCCAGAGAGGCCACATGGTGTACCAGGGTCAGTGACTGACGTAGGGGGAGTTTTGCCAGAGATTCCCCACCACCATTACCGCCCCCACCCACCACATAGACAGATCCCCTACCACCACTACTGCTCCCCCAGACACACACACAGATTCCCCACCACCAGCACCGCCACAGGCACGCCCCCCTCCCACACACACACAGAGCTCACTGCGTTTCCTCCCGGAACGAACATTCCTTCCTAGAGCTCGGACTGCATTTTATTCTATGGCTGGGACACACCTCTCAACATCCCGCCTGATAAGAACTCAGCGGAACCCCTGCCCACTGCTGGGACTGTGTGTCAATTATCTGCTCCTGGCCTTTTTCTTTCTGTCTGGTTGTCCTCCCGTCTGCCTTTCTGCCCAGTCCATCGGCCTCTGCCTGTCCCTCATATGCCACTCTCTGTTTCACCCTCTCTGTGACTTAGTCTCCCTCCTTTCCTTCTGTCCGTTCTTTTTTTTTTTTTTTTTTTTTTTTTTTTTTTT